GCTCCTGATGCCGGAGCGCTTTAACGAGACCATCGGGCTGCAGCACATCAAGGTCTATCTCTTTGATGATAATGTGATCCTGAGCGGGTGAGTGCCGCCCCTTCGCGTCCGCGGGGCCTGAGCGGGGTGTTGAGCGGGGTGTGCGTGCTGCCTGGGCCTTTTCCTGGCTCCGTGGATTCCTCGAGATTCTCGTGTGAGAGAGTCTTGTCTCAAACGGAAACCAGAAGGGTTGCTGATGGTTCCAAAGGAAAAGGCCAATCAGTTACGGATGGAGGGAGGTGTGGGGTCGGTGCAGGGGAGCGTATGCCCATGCTCTCTTCTGGAACTCAACCCTTCTTCTTCTCTCCTAGCGCAAACCTGAGTGATTTGTACTTCACCAATCGTCAGGACCGCTATGTTCTCCTGCAGGACTCTCCTGAGATTGCAGACTTCTTCACGGAGCTCGTGGATGCGATTGGAGACGTGTCTCTGCAGCTGCAGCGAGACGATACAGTCCAGATGATGGAGGGGATGGTGCACCCGTACCGAGGTGGGGGACTGTCGGGTGGGGTGGCCCAGAGGAAGGGAGACACAGCCAGGGTCTAGGGGTGACTTGAACTCCGTCCGGTTGTGAACTGCTGGGCGTCTGACCGCTGTTGGCTGCGGGGTGTCCCCTTTCTGTGCCATCCACTAATGAAGTGGAGGTCAGTGGAGCTTTGAGATGGGACCTGCCACCGTGCTCCTGGCATGGTGGGTGTCACCGGCCGGTCTGGCGGAGGCCGGAAGCTGCTCCGGAGCCATCTCGTTGCTTCTTCCCAACTCTGCTGCTCATGCACAAGAACTTGTATTCCCTGGGAGGTTGTGTTTCTGGTATGGATGTTTGTAATTCAGCGTGTCTGGGTGTGCACGTTCAGAAATTCCGCACAGGCAGTGCTAGCTGTGGGAATTAGTGCAGTGTACGTGGCTCTGTTCTGGGAATCAAGTGCCTGTTGAACTGGGAAACCTGAGAACGAGCGCTGCGGTGGGCAGAGACGCGCTCCGGCGGTCAGGCTGGTTGTGTCCGAGACGGCTTTGTCCTGGCCTCGGGCATCGCTGGATGTGGGCAGTACTTTATTTTCTGTGTTCCACTTCGCCCAGCGTCACCAGTTTAGCTTTGCCCTCATCTCTTAATCTCTCCATGGATTTTTCAGGCTGCTCCTCGTCAAGTTCCTTACTTAAAGCTGAGGGTTTTCCGTCTGCGACGTAGCTTTGCTGACCTTAAAACGTCGGGTTTTGAACCCGGGGCAGAAAGCGCGTGCTGTTTGTGTCAGTTCGGATACCGGTGTCCTGGCGGTGGTTCTTCCCGCGGCGCCTGGCTCCGTACCGTCCGTCTCAAACGCTGCTCCCGTGCTTTCCCGCAGGGGACAAGGCGGCGTACTGCGAGACGGCGAATCGCAGGGTCATGGAGGTGATCAACTCTGCCAGGACGCGCCAGGAGCTCCTTCACGCACAGGCTTTCCACAGCAGCCAGCCAGGCAGCTCCCTGTCGTCCCAGCAAGGCTCTCCGGCATCTGGGGGTCTGAAACCGGAACCCGACACCTGGGTGTATCCCTTAATCCAAATGAAACCGTTCGGGATTCAAATAGACGAGATGGTCACGGAGACGCTGCTGACAGAGGCCGAACGGGATGCCAGGATTTACCTCACCACCGGCTACTTCAACCTGACCCAAGCTTACATGGACCTCGTTCTGGGCACGCGGGCCGAGTATCGGATTCTTCTGGCCTCGCCGGAGGTGAACGGCTTTTTCGGTGCCAAGGGGGTGGCGGGGGCCATCCCTGCTGCCTACGTTCACATCGAACGCCAGTTCTACAGCGAGCTCTGCTGCCTGCGCCAGCAGGAGCGGGTCCGGCTGCAGGAGTACTCCCGGGCCGGCTGGACATTCCATGCCAAAGGTAAGATGCTGCTTCCCACTGGGCGTTTTCCCGGGACGTTTGAGACTGGTGGTTGTTTGGGTTGGGCGAGGAGCGAGTGGGCGGCTGGGTGTCAAGATTGGGCTGAACATCCAGGGTGCTCGCCTGTGGTTCCATCGAAGGCCCCAGGTTCTTTCCTGCCTGGCAG